AGGCCCTTTTCTGCTCTAAATAATTGAGCACCCTCCCGCCTCCCTCTTCCCGTCCCACTCTCCCTCAGAAGATTTATTTGCACATAAAATTGAAGGCCTTCTTCTTTGGCACCCTTTTCTATTCAGCTTAGACAAATATTTAGCAGCCAGACCTGACCTTAATTTCCTTAAATATCAGGGGGTGAAAGATGGAGTGCCTGCCCAGCAGGGAGGACACATGCTCTGCAGGGGGGACAAGGACTGAGATCCTGTACCCCGTCCCGTAGTGGGGTGCATCTTTCCCCATGACCATCCAGGCCTCCCCTCCAGGGACAACTGGCCAGTGTCTCCTCCACTGGGGCTGCCAGAAGAGGCAGGGTTCCAGCGACTCTGCCCGGAGACCCGGCATTCTGGGCTGCTGTAGGGTGGTGACAGAGGAGCCCATTTCCAGGGCTCCTGCCTTGTGGGGCACAAGAGGGACTGCACATGGGTGGAAGGTGAAGGCCCAGGTGGCCGGGGGGAGGGGTGCTCATGCTGGGGCTGCCAGGGCTGGTGACTCATTTGTTCCCTCTCCCGCCATTCATTCTTCATTCATTCATTCAATCCATTCATTCAATTCACTGATTCTTGGAAAAATGTCCAGTCCTGTGTTGGGCTCGGTGATCAGAAACACAAGTCCAGCACAGCCCGTGGGAGGTCAGGCACTGGAAGCTGGCCAGGAAGAAGGAAGGAGTCAGAGCCATCCTCAAAGCAGGGTGAGCAAGATGCATCCCCAAGGATGCGTTAAGCAAGCTCCTTGCAGATGACTGGACGTCGTAAGGAGGACACAGGGAGTGCAGGAAGCAAAGCAGGCCACGCTGGGTTCTGGTCTCAGCTCCAAAGTCTTGTCCCTCCTTCCTGAGTCTGTCCTTGCCTTTTATGCTTCCTGTTTGTGGAAATGGGGCCACCAGGGTCCTCCCAGCCCCGAGTGGGCACAATTGCCGTTTGCTCTGACGACAATGACACCAGCTACTGAGCCCAGCACTTTATGAACATTGTCTCATTTGATGCTCAGTTGCAGCCCTATGAAGCAGACAGTGTGATCTCTGTTTCCCAGAAACTGAGGTCAAGGGAGGGAAGGTCACATCCCCAAGGTCACCCGGGCCAGGCCCAAGGTGGGAGGGAGCCCGGCACATGCAGAGAATGGCAGGTGCCTGGTGCATGAGGCATGTGCAGGAGGGAGTGGGGCGGGAGAGTGTGGTTCTGTTGGGTCACACCCTGGGGTGCACGGCTAGGGTCTGTCACACCCACCCCTCACCAGGGACCTGAAACCGGCTTTTCCCTCCTCTGGGCCTTTGTCTCTGCCTGTAAAATAACAGCCCCCCCACTCCAGGAACCTGTCTTTGAGCCAGGTACATTTTTGCTCTGAGCCTCTGTTTTCACACCAGCTGATGGGAAAGTAATGGTGTCTATCTCCACCTTCTGTTGTAAGGGTCTGAGCAGAAAGTGTGAGCAATTCCTAGCAGGGCGTGAGGCATCAGTAGATGGTCAGCCCGTGTTGATTCACTCTTGGTTGTGGGGTGAATTGTGCCCTGGGAAGTTATGCTGGAGCCCCAGGTCCCCAGCAGCTGTGAGTGGGGCGGTATTTGGAACCATGGCCTTTGCAGATGCCCTGAAGACCAAGAGCATCCCAAATTCGAGTGGGCCCCAATCCAATGGCAGATGTCCTCAAAGAGTGAAGATTGGGCATAAATACACAGCACGCCATGCGACACATCCACCAGCCTGGCTACACCAAGCGCTGCCACCAGCAGAAGCTGGAACGAGACTGGGAACAGATTCTGCCCCCAGAGCCTCCTGGAGCGACACCCCTGTCCATACCTCACCGTCGGACTCATAGCCTACAGGAAGCTGACAGACTAACTCACTGGGGCAGTATTTTCTGTGGTTGCTCCAGGAAGTAAGGAGAGCCTCGTTGCAGAGCACAGAGCTGGATACACAGTGCACCCCCAAAGTGCTGCTCCCTTTAGTCTCTGTGCTGCCCCTCCGCCTCTGCCATCTCTTCTCATCTGCCCGCTACTCCCCTCCTTGGCTCCTCCAGCCACACCACTCTGGGCTGGGGGTGACTCGGCCAGGGCAGGCAGCCAGAGCAGTCCCTGGCTCCCGGCCGAGGCCCGCGACACCTCATTACCAGGGGGCTGTAACGCAATTTCACCCATGGACGGCGCTGAAAGCCAGGCCTCCGTGGGCCTAATGGATGGGCGGAAGCGGCTGTGGGTGCCCCCGCCTCTCCCTGGCCTGAGAAGCTCCGAAGCACCCAGAGAAGCTGGCACGCAGCGCACTCAACAGCTGAGAAGCACAGATAAACCCGGCCAGAGCGCCGGCCCGCTGGTCCTGGAGCAAACATCAGGAAATTAATGGGTCTTCCATGCGCCATGCTGGCCCCCGACTCTGCAGGACGCCTCGCTCCCGCCTGCCGCCTCCTCTCCCTTCCTGGGCTTTGTTCCTTCCTCCCTTTGTTTCCTGTTTGTGATAAACATGATTCATGCCAGTGCTGCCAGGCCCTGTCACCAGCTCAAGGCCAGCTGTAGATCTCAGCAACGAACCACGCAGGGCCGGGGCGAGGCTCACAGGGGCGCAGGGGCAAGGGCCTGGCCAGGAGGGGCAGAGCAGGTGCATCCTGTTGGGGGACAGTGTCGGGGGCAGGATCATGGCCAGACCCTGCTGTCCCAGTCAGCTTCCTGAGGCAGCTCTGACAAAGCCCTCGCACCACAGCAGCTCAAACAGAGAAATGTGTCCTCTCTAGTCCTAGAAGCCGGAAGTCCACCCTGCAGGTGCCAACAGCAGAGCCCTGCTCGGTCTAAAGCACGAGACAAAGTTTCCTCCTTGTCCCTTCTGGCTTCCGGTAGTGGCTCGCACTTGTCAGGGCTCCAGAGCTGCCTTGCCCCAGGCTCTGTCCCTGTCCTCACACTGCCTGCTCCCCACCTGTCTGTGTCTCCAGCTGACTGGCTCCTCCTGGGTCTCTCTCCTTTTCTACGGACACCTGTCAGCAGGTTAAGGGTCACCTACCGAGTGTGATCTCATCTTAACTAATTACCTGCGATAGTCCTCTTTCCACGTACAGTCACATTCACGGGCTCTGGGACTTAGCATTTGGACCTATCTCTTTTTGGAGGACACTTTTCAGTCCCTAACAGGACTTAGACCAGAGGGACCTCATTTTGATGGACCTCACTAAGTGGCCCATGTTCAACCCACTTTCTACTCCTCAGATCAAACGAACAGGGCTGTGTCTTCCCTCTGTATCTCCAGCACAGATGCACACAAATGCCCAATAAATAAATTATGGAATGCAGGGTATGGACCAGCATATGTTGAGCATTTACTATATCCTAACTCCAGGCACAGTTCTAAGCCCTCTGTGTGTACTATTTCATGCAGTTCCCTATTCCCAAGAGAGGTAGGTGCTCAGGTGAACAAACTGAAACCAGAGAGTCCCAGTCTACTGACGGAGAAGCTGTAGAGGCTGATTGGAGTCCAGCAGTGGGACTGAACCCTTAAAGGGACACACAGCTAGGCAGCAGAGAGAGCCTCCTCGGGGCCCAGGTTCTTGCCCTGCAGGTCAAAGGAGAGGCCCCAAGCTCACAGAGCAGTGCTGTGGGCTCACTTTTCCTCCTGTGTACGATGGAGCAGGCTGGGCGGGGTGCCAGGCCAGTAGGGAGCAGGCTCAGAAGGCCAGCTGGTAGTGGCCATTATGCCCCCGTCTCTTCATGCCCTGGCGCTCAACTCGCCCTCTCCGGGGTGATGGGCATAGCTTCTGTCTCCTTTGCCTTTACTTCACTTGCTCAAATTTTAGCATTTTTTTTTTTTTTAAGAATTGAAGGAAAACACAGATAAACAGCTATTTAGAATCATGACTCCATAATTCAGGAACCCTCCTTCTGATGCAATCTGTTCCTCAGTTACTCTGTCCAGCGGGAGGGAGGGCGTCCTAGCAAACGCAGTGTGCAAATACCCGGGGGGCGGAAGGCGGAAGCCAGCACCTCCAGATCGGTCTCCTTTTCCCAGAAGTGACCGCGTGTCCTGGGTGGGGACTGTGCCAGCCCCGGGCTCGGAGGGCCCTGGGGAGAGATCTCTGCATGTCTAGCAGGGGCTGGGGGAGCCAAGCCGAGACGAGGCTTCAGCTAAGAGTTGTGCAGGGTCCAGGGGCTTGTCCTTTGGGGACGGCCACTCCCAGGGACCAGGATTAGGCTGGGTCAGTCACCCGGTGGCTGTCACAACATCTGGGCTCAGGGTCAAGCTCTACACCTGTCACCTGCTGGATGTGTGGCTCAGTTTCCCCAACTGGTCGGTGAGTAACAGCAGTGCCTGCCTAGCGGGTGAGGACCCCAGCGCTAGTGGTCTTGGTGGGTGGCAGTGTGCAGCACCACCTCTGGCCAGGGAGGGCATGAGCGCTGGAAGGAAGCCCTGGGCACGCAGGATCGCAGGAGAGGACAGCAGGGCTGCCTGGACCTGCTGTTGCTGAGGGAAAGCAGAGAAAAGGGGCCCAAGTGGAGGAAGGGCTGCAGTTGGAGACGGTGCACCCTGGAAGCTTGTGCTCGAGCTTGGCTTGGCAGAGGGGAGAAACTGGATTCTGGGAGGTGAGGAAGGCAGAGGCACCAGAGCCCACTCAGGACAGCTACCTGGAGGATGGGGTTTAAGAGCAGCAGACTCTCATCCAGGGCTTGGTACTGGGTGCTCTCCAGCCACAGCCTCCTCTCTGGGGCCCACTGTGCGACGCTGGCAGGTGCTGGATCCGCGTCCTCCTCGCTCCGAGCACCGCGCTCAGTGGGGCCGCAGCGCCCATCCCCCTCACAGGGACCCGCTGTCACACAGCAACAAACAGTGCGTGCCTGACACACAGGACAGGGTGCAGGCTCAGTCCACATACACCAGCGTCCTTCTCCTGCTTATTCCCCTGAACAGCAGGGCCTGTGACTTCTCCTGGGTCCCCCACGGCAACCACATCCTATGTCTGTGGCCGAACACGCAGAGGGTGCACAGGACAAGTGGACTGAGTGGACCTCACCCCTCCCCCACCCCCCAGCTGGGCTGAGCACAGTGGATGGGGGACGCTCAGGTGAGCTGGGAGCGGGCAGCCACCTTGCATCCTTGAACTCAGCCTCATGTGCAGGCTGAGTTACAGACCTGGTCTGTCAGCCCAGCCCTCAGGGCTCAATGATGGTGTGGCGATGGATTAGCAATGTCTGCCCTGGGAACAGGAGGGGAGGGAGTATCAGTGCTGCTCAAACCGGAGCCCGTACCAGAATCACCCCAGCCCTGGTTTCTGATTTCCAAGTGTGCGTCTCTAATGAGCTTCAAGGGGTCGCTGCTGCTGCTGCTGCTGCTGCTGCTGCTGCTGCTGCTGCTGCTGCTGCTGCTGCTGCTGCTGCTGCTGGTTGAGGGAACTGACTTGGAGAATCCTGCTCTATACAGCACCTAGGCATAGAGAACCTTCTTTAAAAAAAAATTGGTAGCATATGTTTGCAATACATAGTCGATATATTATTCATGATGGGGAATTGGTACATATGTGGGGTGTATCTGGATCCTTTTTATTTCCCTCTCTTCCTCTTCTTCTTGTCTCTCCCATCTGCAGATCCCTTTCCCATCTCCCCAAAGCCTACTGAATTTTCTTTTCTGGAAAATGGGCACAACCATATGCCCCTGCATTCCTGGGGCTGCAGTGAAGGCAGATGAGGAACATTTGGAGCCACAGCCAGCGAAAACAGGGTCCTCAACCTCGGCCACATGATAGAATCACCTGCTGAACTTTATGAAGTTTTGGTGCCCAGGTTGCAGCCCAAACCAATAAACCAGAATCTGTGAGACAGACCTAGGCACCTGTGCTTTCTAACTCTGCCTGTCCTCCAGGTTTTGGAGACTGAGGCGGGGATCGAGTTAAAACCGCAGATTCACACTTGGCAGGTCTGGCGTGGGGCTGGGACTCAGCATTTTTAACAAACACCCAAGAGTTGGCGATGCTGCTGATGATCTGGGGGCCACTCTTTGAGAAGCAAGGTCCCAGAGGGGGAGAAAGCTGCTGTATCAACTCCAGGGCTGGGCACACTACCACACTTCAAGTCCGCAGTTATTGGTTTGACCTCATATCTGCAAGCCTTCCCTCCCTCCTCCCCATGTTCCAGGCACTGTATCCTGACTGCAAGTTTCTGTCCTCTCTGAGTCTTGACTTGGGAGGGGGGAACCATGTCGAGACCACTCCAGAGCTTGCTGCCCAAGCACAGCCCCTGCAGGCTCCAAGCTGCTTTGCCAGGCAGACGCCAAGCACACCAGACAGCACCACCGCTCCTCCCTTCGTCTCCATTCTGGTCTTTAGCAGACAGGATCAGATACAATAGATTTCTCGTTTGCAAACCCAGCCTCCAGGCTGAAATCGACATCTCCCTGTCCCCTCTTGCATCCTTCACACATCCCTTGCCATTTTGCCCATGATTCCTCCTTGTCGGTTGCCCGCGAGGTATTTTGGGTACTTCACGCACTGATCGAGAGCCTACTGTGTGTGAGGGGTGATGACAATTTTCTCTGTGACCTTAAGCAAGTCACATGGGGGCCGGGACCTTGCTCTGATAACCTAATGTGCTCGGAACCTAGCTCATACCTGGCAAGTGGTGAGTTCCAAGCGGGTACTGCTGAATGGATGAACTCACCACCTCTTGGAGCCTCAGTCTCTTTTCCCACACAACACGATGGCAAGGACTGTTTCATGAGTTGGGGTGAGCTGTGTCACTACTGGGGAGGCCTCTGGGCTCCCGATGAATAAACCCAGGCTAAGATGTGCAAATAGCAGGTCGTGGAACCTGGGAACCTCCACGCAGAGCAGGAACCTTTTGCCTTTGGAGGAAGAGTGGCAGGGCCAGAGTGAGGCTGGACCCTGGAGCTGAGGCCAAGCAGAGCCCCTGGGGCTGGAGGGAGCACAGCCAGGGGCAGCCTGGCCTGGGCAGAGGGATGTGGCCCAGGAGCCAGGCCAGCCACTGGCACCTTTGAAGATGGTCTGTGCCGGGAATTCCGAGGGAGGTGTGAGCCTTCAAATCCCTTCTGAGAGTTAAGCCAGGAAGAGTGGCCGCTGGCCCTGAGCTGGGCTGGGGGCTGGCTCGGAGGAGTCCAGACTGGGTCGGCCTTCCTGGACAGCCCTTGAGAAGGTCCTCGCCCCTGCCCACTCTCCCTCCTGTGGCTCTTTGCGCCCCAGCCCCTTGCTCATGGCAGTCATGTCTAGCAGCACTGCCTGCACTGTCCCAGGCTTCTTCTTGCCCTGTGTCCCTGACACAGGATAAGGGGACCCAGGCCCAGAGAGGCTGGGACAGTGTCTCATTGTACCCAGCTCATCCCGACTGCTTTCTGGCCAAGGGCCTGGCTCGGCAGGTGCCCCAGGTCCAGGACAAGTAAGCCGCCCAGGGGAGTCCATAACGATGTGTTGGTTCTTCTCCTTCTCCACACCCAGGGATTTAGGCCCCGCCCTTCTTCCCGAGACAAGAGAAACTCTCAGGACTTTAACTCCATGCAACACAGCAAATGTGTGATTCTAAGCTTGCTTAGCTCAAAGGGTCCAAATTTTTATGATTATAAATTTATTTAGTCAGGGTTCCTTCAATTCCAGGTGACAGAAAACTTGTTCTTCCTGGCTTTATAGCCATAGAGAATTTTAAGCATTATGACTTCAGGTGTAGCTTGATCCAGGAGCACAAGCCACGGACTCTCTGTCCCTCCATTCATGGAGTCTTTATTCTTTTTATTGACTTTGTGGCATGACAGTTGGTGGCAACCCAAAGCCTATATCCTTTGAGGTTCAAGTTCTGCAGGAAAAGAGAATCTCTTTCCCAACAATTTGACAAAAAACTCATGACTTAGTCCTCCTTTGCGTGGATTTGCTGAGGCCCAATCCTGGACCGATTGCCATGGCTGGGGGAGAGTGGGGTCCCTGAGTCCCACTTACACCCCCCAAGCCAAGTCAGATGTCTGGGAAGGGAAGGGTAGTTTCTCATTGGAAGTTGGGGGGCCCTCTATCAAGAGGGTGGGGAAGAGATGAAGAAGGATAAAATAAAATGCTCCCACACTGGGGTTCTCGGCTAGGTTGAGCAGTGATGTGATGAGAACTTGACTTGGAGCTTCCAGGAAACTCCAAACTCAGAGCTGGGACCATAGCTGGTGCCGGAAGAAGGTGGGCGTGAAGAAAAATCACCCGACTCCCTGCCTTCCCACAGTCAACCCAACCACATGGCTCTTTACTCTCTTCACCCTCAACTCCCAGAACCTAGGTGCTCTCTTTGCCTTTCCTCTTTGTTGCTGTTTTGCAGTCCGTGTGGCCAAGGTTCAGATGGGGCCAGCGGAGAGTGAATCAAAGGCTCTAGGAGCAGCAGCTGCAAGGAAGGACACGGGGAGAATTTGTCTAGCAGCTCTGGGGGACAGTCAGCTTCACTGTGAACCTGAGGGGGAAGGTGGGGCATAAATGCAGCACGGAAGATTGGGAGGTCGGTCTGGATCCTTCGCTCTCCTGGAGTGGTATTTGCACCCACGTGCCCTCCAAGGCCACACGGTGAGCAGAATCTACCTCCCCGCCCCTCAGCTTTGGCCTTGACCAGGCGACTTGCTCTGGTCATGGGATGGGAGCAGATGTAACGACAGAAGATGCCCTCGCTCTCCTGTCGTAGCGGGGAAGGAACATAACCAGGGTGGCCTTGACCCCTACAGGACACACAGGAGCAGACCGGAGCAGACTCACAGCCTGCTGCGGAGCCCCGGCCAGCTGGAGACCTGAACGCAAACTGCAAATGCTACCGTCCAATGCCAGGGACGAAAGCGGCTCACTATGCAGCCCTGCAGAGGCACAGCCTGCCTGATAAAGATCAGAGGCTCTGCTCACCACCAGTGCAGCGCTGCAAGGGGACTTCGGAGCCCCCCAGGAGTGCCACGTGATGGTGGGAAAACCATTCTTTGCAGGAGCCTTGGTCATCTCCTGTCTGGATCCAACCCACGACCTTTAGGAGCCGGACGGCTCTGGCACTCCAGGGCCGCCTTCTGCCTGTCTCCTGGCCCGGGAATGGCCCCCCGGGAGACTTCCTGCACCTCCCACAGTTCCACGCGGCAGATTCTGTGGAACACAAGTCACACTGAGATCAACACAGAAGTTGACGTGTGAAGTCGGCTGGGAGCCAGAAGGAGTTGAGGGCTGGGGGGGGTCCCCTCCACGTGGAGGCAGAAACTGAGTGGGAGGATGAGGTATGTGTCGGGAGAAGCAAGGAAAGAGCGAGCTTCCCCGTGAAGGCAGGTGACGAGTAGGAGGCCAGGGTGTGAAGGTGGGCTTGTCTGAGTCACTGTGTTGGAGGGGACTGCTTGAGCCGCAGATGGTGCTCAGGAACCCCATCCTCCTCTTACCTCCTAGATGAGGCTGCAGAGAGAGATGCGTTGGCTGGGAGTCAGATGGGTCCACATCCTGGGGTCAGATAGCTCTTCCATATACTAGCTGTGTGATGTCGGACTAATGACTTAACCTCTCTGTTCCATTCTTTGTAAAACAAGCACTAGAACATCCACCTTCTGAGGGCTTAGCAGAGATTAAATGTGACACTAATTGGCACTCACGGAGCACTGATGTATGGGTGCTGGCCTTCCCACTTGCCCTGCACCCCTGACTCCTCAGCCCCAAAGGTGGGCACTGCTCTGAGTTCCTTTTACAGGTGAGGAAACGGAGGCACAGCATGGTTAGGCGGTTGCCGGAAGTCACAGCAGAAGTGTCATAGCTTTCAATGTACTCAAGTCCACCTGATTCCAAATGCTGGCCCCTCGACCTCCACACCTGCATTACTCACGGATGAAATATGATGGCCATCACAAGGCCCCCACGGACAAGGGGGCGTCTCTGTGTCCAGGTCTCTCTCGTGGTGATTTTGTTGCATTTTCCTGATCCCATTTTTCCTGCTTTCGTACAACGCCGAGCACCCACGGAACCTGGGCAGCCCAGGGGCGCAGGGAAGGAGCCAGGCTGTGCAGTCCTGGGTGGGGAGATGGTGTTGGCTTGAACAAAGCATCAGCCAAGCACCCGTCCCAGCTGAGATGGGCCGACTGCCTCACTCCGGGCCTCAGTGCATGTGTGGTAGGGTGCACAAAGGGGCAGGAAGGGTGGGCTTGAAGCCAGCTGGGACTTACAAACACCTCTCTGAGCTACGTCTTTCTTGTCTGTAAAAGGGAGATGATTATGCTCTGAGGGTGGCTGTGAAGATTAAAGGAGGTGGTGCATGTGAAATGCTTGGTCCAGGGTTTGTCCTGCAGTACGTGCTCAATAGATGTTTACTGTGGTCATTACCAAGGGAAGGCAAATGAGTGAGGGCAGGCGAGGAGTTTGGAAGCATGAGGGAGAGAGAGAAAATGAAGGGGAGGAGGAGGAGGAGGAGGAGGAGGAGGAGCCATCAGCCCAGCTCCCAGGCAGGCGCCTATACTGGCCTGGGCTGCTCCCCCCTGTGGTCACAAAGACTGCTCACTCATTCCTGCTGCATCCCGCTGTCACATCTGCCAGATGTGGCCCTGGAAGCCAGCAAGAACAGCTGTCCCTCAACAGCTCAGCTGCAAAATGAAGGCCTGGAATGTTGAGAAGGACACAGACACTCAGGCCAAAGACGGTGCAGTCAGGAGGTAACCATGCCACCACCATCACTGTCCTGGGCCTCGTTTGTGAAGAGAGCTAGGACATGGCCTGGCTGTGCCCCGAAGTCTGATCCCACGGCACCTGTGGCCGGCAGCCCCGGCCCCTGCATCTTGGGCTGGAAAGGGTGGGTGTGAACCTGCCCTCCTGGCCCTGGGAAGTCACCTGCCATTTTGCAGGATGGCCCATCTGGTTTCTCAGGAGAAATCTCATCCCATAAAGCCAATTCCTAATTGGAATGTGTGCTCTGCCTTAGAACATTCCTCTTGGTGGTTATTTCCGTAAGGACGAACAGGGAGCTGAGTTTAGTTGTATCTGATACCTAGGATGAGATCTGAAGGCCAGTCGGGAGCACTGAGAAGGGGGTCCTGTGGGGACTCACATTCAAGGAGAGGTAGAGAAATCCACATGACATCTATGGCATCAGGAAAACTTTGGCTTAAATCCTCTCCATCCCTGACTGTCAGTGACCCTGACTGGGTCGCTTAACCTCTCTGATCCTTGGCTTTTCCATCTGTAAAATGGGAAGAAGAGTATGGCAGAGAACTTGGGCTACAGAATCAAACTTCCTGGGTTCATGTCGCTGGTATTTTCCTGATGGGTGACCTGAAGCAACTGCTACTCTCTGAGCCTCCGTTTCCTCATTTGGAAATGAACGCAATAGAGGACCCGACCTGGCTCAAGGGTGGTTGTGAGTTTGGATGAAGGGGTGCAAATATGAGGCCTGGCAATCAATAATGCAGATATGCGTAGCATCCTTTGCTACCTAAAAGGTATTTGAACTGCCAGGACGTTGATGGTCTGCCTTGCAGCCCTTCGCTCCCGTTTGGGGGCCCTGACTGCACAGTTTTTGGCATAGAGTGGGCCCCACCCCACTCAGCTACACAGGCAGGGACAGGAGCTGGCACCAGGCAGCCCATCAGAGCCACACAGATCCTGGGGAAATACTAGAGGGGAAAAAAACGATCCCTTGCTGTCACTGCAGAAGCCCAGATGGGGCCTGGTGGTCAGAGTCCAAGCTGCCCTGGCTGAGGGCATCGGTGTGCTAACCAGGCTGGAGGGGACGAAGAGGAGCTGCCAGGGGAGGAGGCACCAGCACACCAAGGCCAGAGGGATCAGGGCAGGATGGGAGACGTGGGGCTGGGACTCCACGCAGAGTCACCTCATATACCTGTGCACCTGAGCCCTAGGTACTCCCCGGAGCGGGGCGGGGAGACAGGACCAGTACAAGACTCCCTACATTCTAACAGCTCTGACAGCTCCACTGGGCACTCAAAAGCCAGGTGTAACTGAATTATTCTTGGACCTGCTCACATCACTCACTCCAAGCGTCACACCCTCTGCAAGCTTTCAGCTCAATGGTCCACCCGTGCTTCTCCTCTCCCTACCCTCCCGACAGAAGGGGCACTGGCCGCTGTCCACGGTTCTGAAACCTCCCAAGGATATGGCCAGCCTGAGGACTTCTGTTAAGCCTCTCCCAGGATTTCCAAAGGAGGAGATGGTTTTTATTTTCCGTCTTGATAAAAAGGAATGTGGGCCGGGCATGGTGGTGCGCGCCTGTAATCCCAGCACTGGGGAGGCTGAGGCAGGAGGATCGCTCCGAGTTCGAGACCAGACTGGGCTACACAGTGAGTTCCAGTGCAGTCTGAACTACATAGTGAGACCCTGTCTCAAAAAACAAAAACAAAACAAAACAAAAAAAGGAATGTGGTTTCTTTTACCGCTGCAGAACCAAGATTCATGGCTTTGGCTTAACTATTTGTGTACCTGTCTCATATTCTTCTGGTCAATCTGCCACATTTACCACCTCTGCCATTTGACACTGAAAAACTTAAGAGGGCTGGGAATTTAGCTCAGTGGTTCCACCACCTGCCTCACAAGCACAAGGTCATTAGTTCAATCCCTGGTGCAATAAAGAAAAGAAAATTGGAGATCCCATAGCCCACAGACGCCTAGTGATTCTAAGCACATCTCACTTTCCCACATGCTCCTGGAAGATCCAAGTCGGGGTACTGAGAGCCTATCTATTCTCATGTCCTCACTCGGCAAGTAGGAACAGGGATTGGGGGCAGAAAGGTACCAAGCTCAGAGTAAATGAGAGCAAACCTGGGGCCGGCACCCCGCTGTCCTAACTGCTTATCTCCACTACCTCACACTTCTCTGGCGGGTCATGGAGTCTCCTTTCAGGTCTTTTTCTAGGTGGAACCCAACCAACACCATTATTTCCAGCTCCCTGTGCCACACACCATACTGTTTCTGTGTGGCACCTTCCCCCACGGAGAGGCGTGGCCTCCGACCCCAGATGACAGGCAGGTGAGCGAATGAGCCCAGAGACGTGAAGTGATTTTCTCCAAGCCATATAGTATGTGACTGAGCTGAGATTAAAACTATAACTTTTAGGGCCATTTCTGGCCTCCCCCTGTAATAAGAGTCCTCAAGGGATCCGCTTAATATTCTCCACCTGGAGGCTGTCATCCCTTCCCCACGATGGGACGGTCCTTGGTTAATGTCACACTGCCCGGCTCTCTGGCAGGGCCTTGCTCTTCCCTGCTAGTGCCTTGACCCTGCAGTGGAAAATGCGATCTTGTGTTGGGTTTTACTCTTGATGATCCCAGCAGTATTTGGTCTTCTGCAGAAATTGGGGTGCATGCAAAAGCCCCTAGAAGCACGATGGGGGCCAAGGGGGCTACTTTCTTGGGAAAGGGTTGTGCAGCAGCGTGAATATTGATTAAGCTGTAATTGGCTCCCCCTTTTCCTAGCCTGGGGCATCTGCAGGCCCAGGAACTGGGGTAATTGTCGCAGGTGATTAATAACTTGGATTCCATTCACTCTGGCACAGGCTGCTGCTTCCTTGGAGGAGAAAGCGAGGCTGGGAAAAGAGTGCTAGGCCGGCTGCTCACAGAGTTCTGGGGGAGATGGGAGGAGGGGCTGCCAATCTGTCAAGCCTCCCTTGGGCCCTGTCTGCAGCACGCCTGCCCCAGCCTGGCTCTATCGCTCTTGCCCATACCTCTCTCCCTTTTGAACTATTTGCCCCTCTCTCCTCTTCCCCCGTAAGCTCACGCTCATCTACCGAATAAGCTCCAGGAAGAAGGGGCTGTGGAGGGGAGAGATGGAGCTTGGAGCTCAGCCAGGGAGGCCTGAGAGCAGGCCCAAGCTCTTCTACGAGCCTGCTGTGCGACCTCAAGCCAGAAACTCATTCCTCATGAACGTGGGCAAGTGTCCCGCTTTTCACATCCGCCGCATCACAGGAGGTGCAAGCAACCCTGGAAATCACAGGGACAGGACCGAGCATTCTACACCGACCTTTCTAACCTTGGGTAACTATAATTACATAGAGAACTTATGGTCAAACTGTGTAAATGTGCCCTCCTGCTGCAGAAAAGATGATTCCAAGTTTATTAGAGGCAGAGATCCTTATTACTTCCATCCCGCAGATGAGGAAACCGAGTTTCAGAGAAACAAAATGGCCCACCCTAGGTCATACAGTCAATTAAAAAAAAAACGCATATAAAAATCAACTCTAGTTTCCTCAGTCCAGAAATCTTTGCAGCTCACTCCTGCTCACCTGACAGTGTCCCCTGGCTTCTGGGAGAAGGTGAGACCGGGGTGGGGAGCAAGACCTCCCAAACCAGTACGTTAGTAGGTGGGAGAGGGAAATACTTAGAATTGTCATTATTCTATTCCCTGATGCTGGAACAATATCTTCATTTACCATATTATTAAAGAGAAACACTCCTAAGCCTCCCCATAAGCTCAACCTCAGCTGCTTACCCATCTGATGGGGAGGGGGATTTGATCCACACAAACCCCCTCACCAGGGGCAAAGAAGGGTATTATCGTCAGCTCTTACCCAGCAGATGCTAACAGTACAAAGAAAGTGCTAATACTTATTCAAAGCTTACCATGTACCATGCATTGTGTTAAATGCTATTTCTTTACATGGGGATTATCTCCTTCCATGAAATCCTTATAACCGTGACTATGAGAGAGGAGCTTTTACTTACCCCCATTTCATAGATGAGACAATTGGGGGCTCAGCAGAGTGAAGCAAAGACCCAGAGGCTGAGCCCAGAGGCCCTGCTCCAATACTCCTGGAGAGAAGACAGAAGGAGAAATGGATGTACAAGAGCTAAAGAGAGAGCAGCCCTTCGTGGCTCAGACTCCTCACAAAAGAAGGGCTCTCAATTAGCTGTGAAGACAGAGGACAAGGGAAGCGGCTCATTGGCACCGGGAGGCATTTAAATCGGACCCGGGAAGAGTTACCACGGGACAGCCCCGTAATGGGGAGCCTCTCGGCTGGCACTCTGGTCCTTTGGCCACTGGAGTCAGCTCTGACGGTCCTGTGGAGGTGACAGAACTCAGGGAGGTGCCCCGAGGTGGGATAGGGCTGCCTGAGTTCAGCGTTCCCATGCTCTGAAATGAGGCTTTGTAGGCAGAGCTGGCAGTGGGGTGGGGAGAGCCCCAGGAGAAGGATTCTCACAATTTTCCACACCCGCACCCGCTTCGCTGCCACATCCAGCTCCTCTTTATGGCAGGCATATTTCAAAGGCCTGGTTCCATCTGCATTTTTAAAACCCTGCTGATGGCCTGGGAAAATCGCACCCTTCCCATGTTCTCAGGTGCCATGTTTCCAACCCACCCCCACCCCGTGGGTCTCTGCACACACACCCCAACGCAGGTCCCTTACCAAGGGCAGAGCAAGCCCAATCCACCCCTCTGGTCCTGCGGAGGCCCCCAGAGGCCAGGGAGGGTGTGGATGACGTGGTCACAGCTATGGCCAGCAGGCAGCAGGAAACTAGGCTCCCTTGGAGGGTGACCAGGGCCCTGATCAAATCTACCAAAAATACTTCCCAGTGGTGTCGGGCTGGATCCCCAGACGTGGGCTGATGGTGCAGCACCGTGGGGCCACAAACGGGGTGTCCTGTGGAGTCACCAGACTGCAAGGAACAGCGTGAGTGCCTTGGAGAACTTGGAGGAGGCTCCTGGAAGCAGCCTTAAAACATATTGAAAAGAATAAGCCGTTCACCCAGGGAAGCCAACTCTTTGCTCTCAGCTGGGCTTGGGAACAGTGTGAGTCTCCCCATTGCTCTGTTAATAATAAAGCTTTCCCTTGTTCTCCTTCCTCCCACCCTCCCTCGTGGCCCCTCCTTCTCTGCCTGCCTCTGGGGTATGGGATTGGGACTGGAAGTTCGCAGGGCAGCTCTGGCTGGTCTTCTGGATTCCTATGTTGTATCTGTCCTCTGCTTTTGGGCAGCAACACTTCACTCTCCACCTCTTGGTCTCTCCCCTTCTCCCTCTTTCTCCCTCTCTCTCCCTCTCTTTCTCCCAGAATGGCACCACCATGCAAGGCACTGCCCAACGTCTTCAAAGCTGGTTGGAGCCACTGGGGAGTCCTCTGCCCTCTGACAGACTTGGCCGGGCTTGCAATGGGTCCCCTGACACTTGGAGCAGATGGAAGTGAGTGCTGGGGCAGGGACACTTGCTCGGGCCATTTGCTTCTGCCTAGATGAGCTCTGGAGGCACCCTGGTCATAAATACCAAGGTGGCCACCTGGCAGCCAGCCAGTGGATAGCTCTGGGGACTGTGCACCAAGGGACAGAGCAGGAGCAGTAGGTGAGGGGCAGAGCAGAAGCGTACGGGCACTCTGGTGGCCGCACCACAGTTTTCCTCTTAAAAATAAGACCTAGAGGGGCCGGGGATTTAGCTCAGTGGTTAGGTGGCCTGCCTTGCAAGTGCAAGGACCCGAGTTCAACCCCAGTACCATAAAAAAATAAGACTTAGAGTTGGGAGAGGGACTAACATGGCTGAGCCCCTGCGGGCTGGGCTTTGGACTTAGTGTTACATTTCACAGCTCTCTTGTTTTCTTCTCTTTCCCATAGCTGGAAGCTTCTAAAGACAGAAAATAGGTCTCACCATGTCTCTGTTTCCCGGCGCCCCATCCACACACTCTGATGCTATGGTATCGATTCCTGTCTCCCCTCACCCAGCAGAGGCCTCTCCAGCACTAGCACCTCTCCATCCTGCGGCTGGGCTGGCAGTCTCTTGTGGGACATCTCCTTTGGTTCTCCCTGGGTGTCTCCAGGGCCAATGCCCTCCGAGGGCTGATGGGAGGAATGGACCATGCCACTGGCCTTGGCTCCCAGGCCACTTCTTCTTCGGGCCCTCCAGCCAGGAGAGTCAGGCAGACCATGTGCTGTTGCTGGAAAAATGCCCGGTCCCAGGGGTTGGCAAGGCTCTGGGCTCTGAGGCCAGAGAGCTGAATGGAGAAGTAGGGAGGAAGGGACGGCGCCAGAAGCCCGGGCTTGGCAGCTCCCTCAGGAGGGCACTCGGGGATGCCCTCGAGTGTCCAGAAGGCTGGTGACCTGCCAAGGCCGGGCAGGTGGGCTGAGAGCTGCTGGAGCCAGGCGGAGGAGTGACTCGGGGGCGGGGCAGGGGGCATGGCCAGGACAGTTTGCAGTGGCGGGGACTGACCCCTAGGGGTCGCTGCCGGGCGCTCAGCCCCTCCCGCCGGCTGCTGGAGCCAGGCTGTA